GAGGCCGGCACCCGCACGCTTCCGCGACGCCCGTCAACGAGGCTCTGCGTGCCTGGGTCGTCAACCTTGAGACGACTCACTTACATCATCGGCTCCGGCATCGGCCCCCCACCCCGTTCCCGACTATCGTGCGCACTTTCCAGTCCGTCATTGGCGAGGAGACGAAGCGCCAGATGCAGGAGAAGCGCGGCAAGCTGCCGGACGCCGTCGTCGCCTGCGTCGGCGGCGGCAGCAACGCCGTCGGCATGTTCTACCCCTTTTCCAACGACCCCAGTGTCCGGCTTGTCGGTGTGGAGGCCGGCGGCGACGGCGTCGAGACGGCGCGCCACAGTGCCACGCTCTCCGGCGGCACGAAGGGTGTGCTGCACGGCGTCAAGACGTACGTCCTGCAGGACAAGCACGGTCAGATTTCCGAGACGCACTCCGTCTCGGCTGGTCTCGACTACCCGGGTGTCGGCCCCGAACTGAGCTCCTGGAAAGACAGCAACCGCGCCCAGTACGTTGTCGCCACCGATGCGGAGGCCTTTATCGGCTTCCGCCTCATGAGCCAGCTCGAGGGTATCATTCCCGCGCTCGAGTCGGCGCACGGCATCTATGGTGCGCTCGAGCTCGCCAAGACGATGAAGAAGGACGAGGACGTCGTCATCTGCCTCAGTGGACGTGGTGACAAGGACGTGCAGAGCGTGGCCGACGAGCTGCCGACGTTGGGACCTAAGATTGGCTGGGACTTGCGATTTTAGAGGAGAGGCAGGACGGCGTTTTGATGGGATACAAAAGGTAGCCTTGATTTTTCCAAAGACATGTCAAGATTTTGATTCTACACATTTTCCAGACGCTGCGTTGTGAATGCTGTCGGGTATGCCGTCGAGTGGTGTATGCCGTGTGAGTGAGATGAGCCAACTGAGTCGTATCCTATGTGAACGCACGCTCGCATGTCTGGCCTCGATGGCTGCATCCCACCATCACGGTCACCCCTTTGTCGAGTCACCAAGGATCAAGGCCCGTTCATCAAAGGGAAAGTATGCAGGGATACGTCTTGTGCCGGCCATCTGTCCGGGCAGGCGGAGAAACATGGAAAAGTACACATATGATACAAATAGACACTGGGCCGCCGCATCGGCCCGCTTCCAAATCATGACCTCTTGGCCTCGTCCTTCTCCATCGCCTCGATCGCAGCGTCGAGCTCCTCCACGGTGCCGCCGACCTGCTCGCCCGCGCCCCCTGACGTCCTCGTCACCCGCCAGCTCGGCCTCCTCGCCGAGGGCAAACTCCTGGCCCTGGGCCTGCAGCGCGGCCACGTCCCAGGCCATCCTGTCGGCGGCGACGGCCTCGGCGCGGCGCGCGATGATGCCCTGCTGACGGCGCTCAGGGGGCCCGGCGTGGCGCCGTCGACGAGCACGTGGACGAGGTCCGTGTTGTTCTCATCCTCGACGCCGGCCGGGCCGCACGACGCCGAGGCGGGCGCGCTCGTCGGCGAAGCGCGCCCGCACGGCGGCCGTCTGCATGACGAGCCAGCGCAGCTTCCAGCCGCCGGGGCCGAGGTCGCGGACGCGCGCGGCCTTTGGACTTGAGCACGTAGGCGTCGAGGCCGCCCTCCTTGCGGATGGTGCGCAGCACGCGCAGCGAGAGCCGGGCCCGCACCCAGACGCCGAGGGCCGCCGACCAGAGGCGCTTGCGGTGGATGTTGGGCCGCCAGGCCCGCGGCGTCTTGACCTTGTGGTCGGACGAGATGTTGTTGCCGCGGCGGATGCGGGCCGTTGCGTAGAGCCCGCCGTTGGACTGCTTGTAGATGAGGCGCGGCCCCAGGGGGTAGTCGGGGATCGGGAAGGCGGGGATGCGGTGGAGGGCGATGGTTTTCGTCAGCGCCGCCGGCGTCGTCGAGAAGGCACGGCCGCTGGGTGTTTGGAGGGACAGGGAGCTGAGAGACGAGGTGAGGCCGCGCAGGGGGGCGCTGCCGCGCTGGGCGGCGAGCGTCGACATTGTGAGGGAGGGTGATGTGTGTGTGCGTGTGTACGAGTTCGAGGTGCCGTGCTATCGTCGTGACATTGGTCTTTGGATCTGTTTCGAGTGCCAATTGAAGATCCCGTGGCCTCGTGATGGCCGGATCGTCGAGCTTCAAGTGAGGTGATGTTAGCTTGGGGAGTCGTACTTTTTTCCGTGCATAGTCGATTCGAGTCGGGGATCGGCTTCAGGGAAAATCCGCCATGGGCCAAGGCAGGTAGGGGGGGAGGGGGGTTCAGGCTCGTGTGCTGCCAATCAGGTGACATCGTGTCGGGTTCGCGAGGGGTGAGGGGTGAGGGGTCCAAGTGGGGGGTTCACCTTGGGGCTGCGCTGTAGGAGGTACGGAACGCGGTGGGCAGATGCATGATATCTTGACCATGACAACCTAATAATTTCATGTGCTTGTACGAACCAACTCTTTGAGCGAGAAAGAGAGAGAGAGAGAGAGAGAGATAGAAAGAGAGTCTCCATTCAGGCCGAGCACAATGCTGCCGCCCATCGAACAGTCGATCCTCGACAACAATCCCGACTTTGCATCCCTCCACCACACCCTCACAACCGTCATCCTCAACCCAGACGGTTCGACCAAGAACGATGCCCTCCGCAAGGAGCGCGAATCCGTCCATAACGTATGTACCCTCTGCAGGCCGAGGGGCGATAATCTGACACGTCCCAAGGACCTCCTTGCCCACCGCAAAACCCACGCAAAGCACCACCTCCTAACCCACGCCCTCGCAACAGCAACACCACCCCCAGCCCCAGCACCAAAAGGCACAATCGGCAAGCCCCGCCCCGCCGCCCAGCCGTCCACCCTACCGCCGCCACTCCTCGACCTCCTCGTCCTGCTGCCCGCGCTCCTCGACCCGTCGGCGCCGCCCCTGTCGCCCGCCGAAGCAGACACCCTCCTCGCCCACCCGCCCCTCTCCGACCTCCCGACCCTCCTGCCCGCGCTGGGTCCCCTCGTCGGCACAGCCCTGCACGCCGCCGCGACGTCCCTCGTCGCGTCGCCCACCCCAACACGAACCCGAGCTTCCTTCCACCGCGTCGTCCCCAAGCTCGCGCCCGCCGCCGTCGCCCTGCGCGCCGAGATCCGCCGCGCCGCCGTCCAGACCGCCGCCGACCGCCTGCGCCTGGCCGAGGACGTGGCCGCGCTGCTCGCCGACGAGGCCCGCGCCGTCGGGCTGCTGGTGCGCGCCCTCGAGGGCAAGCACGGCGTCGTGGCGCGGAGCCTCGAGCTGCGGGCTGCCGAGGTCGGGCTCGCGGCGCGCAGGGCCGAGGTCGAGGCGCGCATGGTCGCCAAGGCTGTCGAGGACCATGTGTACACGCCCGAGACGGTGTCTGCGCTGGCCAACTACGGCGTCCATCTGCGGGATGCGAGGGTCAGGGTCGAGGAGAGCATTCGCCGGCTCGAGATGGAGCTCGAGGCGTATGGCGTGGGTGCGCAGAGAGGACAGGCGCAGGCGCAGAAGGGACGGATGAGGGAGATGGCGAGGGTGTACAGGGCCATGGAGAGGGAGATTGACGAGGTGAAGAAGGATCTCAAGAGGCTGGGGAGGTGAAGGGCCGTCTTGGGTCTTGATGTCATGACGGAACACGAATTACGAAGCATGAAATCACAAAGCATATCGAGCCACCACGAGAATGCAATGTCGTCAAGAGAATCATGGTGTTATACAGAATCAGCGCTGCCAGTCTACTGCCGCGGGCGTCATCGCTCGCTTGTCATCTAGTCTGCCGCCCACCGCCTCCCTGGCCCATATCCAGGCACCATGGCCGCTCCCGATTTTACACCCGTGCGCCCCCATAGCCCACTTAACCCTTGACCTTGAAGATGGCCTCGGCGAGGCGGCCGACGTTGTCGCTGGTGATGCCGGCGACGGAGATACGGCCGTCCTTGGTGGCGTAGACGCTGTGCTCCTTGGCGAGGGAGTCCATCTGCTCGGGCGTCAGGCCCGTGTAGGCGAACATGCCAATCTGGCTGGTGATGTGGCTCCAGTCATGCTTGCTGCCGAGCTTCTCGAGGTTCTCCTTGAGCAGGGCGCGCATGGTGATGATGCGGTCGGCCATCTCCTTGACCTCGCCGAGCCACTGCTTGTAGAGGGCAGGGTTGGTGAGGATCTCGGCGGCGACACGGGCACCGTGGATGGGAGGGTTCGAGTACATGGGGCGCACGACAATCTTGATCTGGCTGTCGACGCGCTTGGCCTCGGCAGCGTCGTTGGCGACGATGCTGAAGGCGCCGACGCGCTCACCGTAGAGACCCATGTTCTTGGCGAAGGACTGGGCAAGGCAGAGATCGTGGCCCTCGGCGACAAAGTGGCGCAGGGCAAAGGCGTCCTTGTCGGTGGAGCCCGAGGCGAAGCCCTGGTAGGCCATGTCGAAGAAGGAGAAGTGGCCGCTGGCCTTGACAACAGCCGAGATTTCCTTCCACTGCTCCTGCGTGGGGTCAACACCGGTTGGGTTATGGGCGCAGGCGTGGAAGAGGAAGACGGAGCCCTTGGGGGCGGCCTTGATGTCGGCGATCATGCCCTCAAAATCGAGGCCGATGGTGTCGCGGTTGTAATAGCGGTACTGCTCAACCTGGAGGCCGGCGTCGGAGAAGACGGCCTTGTGGTTGGCCCACGAGGGCGTGGGGATGTAGATCTTCTTCTCGCCAGGGAAGAAGCGCTTGAGGAATTCGGCGCCGATGCGCAGGGCGCCCGTACCGGAGATGGACTGAGTGATGGCGAGACGCGACAGGGCGGACGAGTCGGCACCGTAGGCGAGCTCGGCGGCGGCCTTGGTGAAGTCAGGCACACCGGTGATGCCGGCGTACTCCTTGTTCAGCTTGGCGTCGACGACCTTCTGCTCGGCAGTGCGCACCGAGGGGAGGACGTACGGCTTGCCCTTGTCGTCACGGTAGGCACCGACACCTGGTGTGGGTTTAGGTCAGCACGACCGGACGATCGGAGATGACAGGAGAACGGCAAAGAAGACATACCGAGGTTGATCTTCTTGTCGAACGTGTCGGCCTTGAAGGCTTCGGTGATACCTGGGCAAGAACGTTAGCTGCGATGCATGCAGACCGAGGGCATCAATGACGTACCGAGAATGGCCTTTCGGAGGGAGGCTCGGATCAGCTGGAAGTTCGATCTCGGAAGGCATTGGCATTATTGACTTACATCCTGACGAACAGTTAGCATCGTGACACCTCCGAGAGACAGGCTTCAAGTGTACTTACAGGAGGGCCCTGGGCAACGTTGGCCCAGGTCGAGCCGGCGCGGGCGACATTGAGCGGGAGGGCCGATGCGCGGCGCAGGCCGGCTTGCCTGGTGGCGATTCGCAGAGAAGAAAGCATTGTGATGGTGGAGGATCAAACGAGCAAAGAGCGCTTGAAGGGGGGAAGGGAAGACTGGCAGAGAGAGGTTGGAGAGGGAGAAGATATTAAAAGTCGGGGACGACTTTCGAGATGTGGTCTGACTCGAAGGGGAAAGTACGGTAGTGGTCCGGGTCTCGACTGACTGTTTTGCTGGCGAGGCTTGCTAGCTGCTGGGGCAGTCGGCACCTGTACCATGTATACCTAGGTAGGAACCTGAGGTAGCGACCTTGGTAGTCATACCGGCTGGGGAGACAGCTCTATGCGCCCGATTGCGGAAGGTGATTGGCACGCTTTTGAGAAAAATACAGCGGCCCCCCCCCCAGCGACTGTGCACCTTACGCACCTCGCGCGGGTCCTGCGCCCTGGGCCCCAGGGTCACCAGTGGGTGGACCTGCGGAGAGCTGTCGAATGGCGTCACGTCTAGCAATGGGGTCCCGGGGTTCGAATCCGCAAGCTCGGGATGTCACGTGTTGTTCGTGCGCGTGCTGCTCGGCTTGTGATTGAGGTTGCATGCGATGGGTCCGATGGCAATGGGAATGACAGCTGTCGATGACTCCGAATTGACACGAGAGTCAGGGAACGAGTACCTCAACTTCGCCGGTGACTATTTCTTGGCCTTTCTTCGAAGAAGTTTTCTGCGATTGAAGGCGCCTCAGTCATTCGGACGTGCCAAGGCCGGGAACTCGCGATCCTGGCATCATCCTGTTCCATCGCCTGCTTCTCCACGCCGATGACTCTATCTTGACGTTCAAGCCTCAGGTCATCTCGGACAGGCTCGGAATTGACACCTCAATGTGACTGTGTCACATCGCGATCGTATTGATCACGGAAGTCCACCGACTCTGCGTATGGGACTGCTCAATGTTGTATCAACGCCTTGGCTGTCGGGGAAATCCAGCAGACAGAAAACCCAGCTGCGCATTGGGCTTTTGGTCCAACAAAATGTGCCAACATCGACATCGAGTATACGATAAATATCCCTTGCCAAACGATAGGGGGTAATGCGTATAGGACAGATGGTCCACGACACCTTGCTGTATCATTTGACAACGTCCTTCACCGGTGCCTTCCTGCAGTGCATTACTTTGATTGATATGTCAATGGCCTACACAGGATGGCCCTATGTCTCTTTGCCATCCCATGTTTCTTATTTTCTACCTTCCCAAATGACGCTGTGCCGCAGCATGTCAACTCTCCGGCGATGCCTGGCTTCGTTGGGAGGCAAAGTGTCACACAAGTGGCAGCCGTGAAAAGAAAACGACGTGCCTTATGAGTCCATATTCCGTCGATACCAAAGTCAACCCGAATCGACGTTTTACTTTGGTGGGAACCATGTCAAGAAACGGCTCTAATTGCATCTTTGAATCTGCTGCTCTTCTCCTGACTTGTTCGGGAGCAAGCCGAAATGCATTCATACTCGTTCCCATAAACAACAACCACATTTTGAGAAAACAAAAATGGGCTCTTGAAAGAAACATTCACTCAACAAATTCATCTCTCTAATCTCATCAACTCGGTCATAGAATCGCGGCCTTTTCGTAATTTGACACTCGACGGGGCAGGCATCACCACCCCCAACATCACCCGACGGAAGATGACACTCAACCCCGCCCATACATTCATCTCGCTGTCTTTCTCACCAGACTTCTGATCAGGTACTTATGCTCTCGAACAGTTCACTCGAACAGTTCGCCCGATATGGCTGGTGCGACTTGCTGGAGATGTTTCGGACGTCAAGCGCATGGTCAAAGATGTCAGTGCATCGCACCGATCCGAAACGACGGGGACCACGACAACACCCTCACCCGAATCAGAACTCGGGGTCTCACCACTTTTACCAAAGAAATCTCCGAGCACAAATCTCGACATCGCGATTCTTGTAGGTCTGCACGCCTCGTGGTGCCTGTTCGACCATGCGAATCGTTGTTCTCCTGGCGTCAGCGACACTCGCACTCGCCGTGTCTCCATCTCTCACCCCTCGCGCCGCCGAGACCGGGCGAATTCGACGCCGAAAGCCTCGCAAGACTGGAGACGCTCAGCCAGGTCAACGTCAGCGATCCAGCTATCGCGGCCTCCATCGTCAGCAACGAACTCACGCTGGGCGGCTGTCGAGATGTCATTTTCGTCTTCGCCCGGGGCACGTCAGAGCAGGGCAACATGGTGCAGACCTTCTTCATCCTCGGTCACCCTTCGCCACCATAGGATTATCCCGCTGACTCGATATAGGGCACACTCGTTGGGCCGCCCCTGTCAAGTGGCCTCAAGTCCACGTACGGCGACTCCCGCGTAGCGACAGAAGGCGTCAACTACGCCGCCATTCCTGCGCCCAATTTCCTACCTGGCGGCACGGACGGGCCCAGCATAGCAGCCATGAGCAGTGTCCTGCTCGGTGCGGCGATGAACTGTCCAGCCTCCAAGGTCGTCGTCGGCGGTTACAGGTGAGCCCTCCTCCTTGTCCCTAATTCCGCTCGCTCTCGGCCAACATGTTCAAAGCCAAGGCGCAGCGGTCGCGCACAGGTCAATAGAAAGCCTCCCGCCCGTGGCCAAGGACCAGATAGTTGGTGTCCTCATGGTTGGCGACACCCAGAAGATGCAGGACGGCAGTCGTATATTCAGCTTTCCGCCTGACAGAGTGTCGTTTCTGTGCAATCCGGGAGATGTCATTTGCGACGGGCAGCTGGTAGTGCTGGCCCCGCACCTGGATTATACACGCCGTGCTGGCGAGGGCGTCGGATTTCTGGCATCGAAGATTGGTAAATTGTAGCGAGGAAACGGTGGGGAGGGTTGGCAGTCGTTCGTCGCTTGTGTGCTATTTGCAACTCCATTGGGCTGTGGGCCATTGAGTAGCCTCGATAAATTTCAGATTGGGTTCCTTGGAACCGACCTGCTCTTTTGATCTTTCTGGTGTTGTTAGAAGAGAACAGCTGCTGTGTCCCTCATCTAAAGTACTACGATCTTGCTAGTCGAGTCGTTCGGGTGATTACCATGGGTTGGTTACTATTACACGGGCTCCCTACAGGTGAACCGTCTTCCATATTTCTTGAGCGCCACTGAATTCGTTGGCAGCGCTCAGGAATGGGGAGTGTAAGTCTGACTTACAAGCACTGCGCGAGGCCCATATGACCAGGTTCGGATCCGAAAGGCCCAAACCGCATATTGGCACATTCACTGGCGACCTACCTTCCGTGGCCGAAGGGAAAGCACCGGCGGTCTTCCCCCATCTGACTGGAAACCAGTAGTAGGGCCATTTACTAAGGGGAGGTTGCTGCATCGGCCCCTTCCAGCATAACAAATAAGTTCGTCTTCAGCCTCACGCCAGCTGACAGCCCCTCAAAGCGAGCCAGATGAAAAGAGAGCACACTGATAGCGCCAGCCGTATCACTACCATACATCGACATGGGTGCGATTCTATGGCAATCATGGGCGGGTCTCGCCTTCTGCATCGTTACGGTGCGGTTTCTTGCCCGGATGTTCACGCCAGCGGACCAAGAGGATCGCGAAAGTATTTTGCCGGCTCGCTTCCACGAACGAATCAGAGGCGTCCCAAATATTCGGGACTGGCGTATTGAAAATCCTGCATCAACGCCGACGAACGTCGGGCGCTTTGAAGAAGAGCCGGAGCCGATATCCGTTTCGGAAGGAAACCCGGACGATGAGGTCGTGCCCCAACCGCGGCATGACGAAAACAGATCGGAGTCTCCGGATGATGCTTCGAAGGCAAAGGCGTCTTTGCATGCCGTGGACCCGATTCCGCGGATCGTGGTCGAGTCGTCCAGTTGAGCTTCGCCATGCCAGTCCGACTCGCGTCAAAAGCTTAAGATACCGTCTGAGCGCAGAGTTTGAGGGAGGGAGCGGAAAGGTACCGAGATCAATTAGCTATGTCATTACGCCAGCACAGGGCAGAACCAGGACTAACAGCTTTTTGACCAGAGGACCACAATGCAAACCTGTGTGAGCGGTGGTCTCGAACGGTTACTCCGACGAGCCAGAGACCAACGAGTCAAGTAGAGCGCAAACCCCCACACCATCAAAGCGGTGACAAGGGACAGCGTTCGTTTAGTGTCCGTCATCGTTTTCAACACAGACGGCGCTATTGACGCTGGCGCATCTCCGGGCCTGGCTGGAGGTGACGGTCTACGCTGCACTGAGCTTTATCCCCGGACAGGGCGGCGACGGCCGCTTGCTGACTGAGCGTCGCGTGGCCGCTTATGCAGGGGCTAGCAAGATTTCCCGGGACGACCGACACCTGTGTCATCCAGCTGCGCGGGACAGCAATTGTCCCGCCGTTTGTCTTGAATGGTGATAGAGAGCGGAGGGGAGCCTGTAGATTGGGGCCATGACCTCAGAGCACAGGAAGGAATCGGACCCCGGATCGTTTGATCCAAGTCCTAGAGAGCTTAGGGAGTACGGTGGTGCAGCACGGCGAGGGTGGCGCCATGAGCCTAGAGCATTTGCTAACCCAATAAGTTGTTTTGTTTGCTGGTCATGCATCGTGACGGGCGGCTGAGTTGTGCAGGTTGGTTGCGTTGACAACGCCACATGCAAGATGGTGGTCACGCTCGGGTGTCAGTCAAAAGAAAGGACGCAACGGGACGTGACGATTCCGTGCGGGGAAGGAATCCTTGACGGGGGACAGTTGTAGAAGGGAGCTAAACAGTGAGATCCCGGGCACGTAAGATGCGGTACGGGAGCTGCCACACGTCCTGGTCATGACCATGAATCCGGTCCTGGTCAAGCAAAGCTTGCCATGCCTATATCAGAGACGGTACAAGACGCCATCGACGATCACCGTTTCGTGGCGCCGAGCAATCCGAGGTGGGATCGCGACGCTGGGTGGTGAGAGGGGCTGGACTCACAGACGCTGAGAACGCGGGACTCAAGATCGGGCGGAGGTGTACACATGGGCCAGCCTTAGGTGCAGTGACTTGCATCAGCAGCGATTTCTGTGGCAGCGAACAGGAACAGAGCAAAGAGCCATCCACGCTACCGAGTTTTCCATGCAGGTACGAGTTCGTGGTCGGCGTGGCATGCGTGGCTTGCACTGCATGTCGCTCGGCTACGCACCGTAGTGCGAACCAGCAGAGGAATGCTGACAGTAACGAACAGGGCAGCGTCGCATAGGAGTTGGGACGCCGGCGGTTTAGCAGAGAAAGGCCACCCGTGGTTATCCCTGATCCTGACATTTGTCTGTGAGATTGGCGATGTTTCCACCCGCAACGCCTTGGCCCCGGCCAGCGCCAAACCCCGAAGATTTGTGCCGTCCTTCTCGTTTTCCCTCCTAGACCCCGTGCTAGAGACAACGGATGTCGATCAAAGAGCGGGCATGATCCCTCGGGGCATTTTAAGGCCGAAGATGGTCGACACGACATTACAGGAGTCATGGTGCGCCACAGTTGCTTGTGATTGTTGGAAATGCACCTGACT